CATGGACGTGGTTACCACCAGAATAATACATAATAATCTGGCGACGAGGACGCACCAACGCTGACCTTATATACTGCTCTGATAATGGAGAGCAGGTGTGCCTCGTCGCCTGGAATGCACCCTCACCTGTGCGGGGGCGGAGCTGCTACCTGTGCCTGCTACCGAGGTACATGGGGCGGCCCGAGTCACAGACGTAACAGTTTCTATAGCACTCAACAACTCGTAGAAGCCCAGAGTGCTGTACAACAGAACAAAACTACAAACAGGTAAAATCACTAAATCAAAATAAGACTGCAAACATAAAAAAACAACAAATAGACAAGAACAGATGAAACCCAGAGCAAATTTAAGAAAATAACATAAACAATACATGTTAACATACCCGTAAATGAAAAAAGCCAATTTATGCCTCAAAAGCCTGCCTAAAGAAAAAAGTTTTTAAGGCCAACTTAAAAACCACTAGTTCCGACTTCAATCGCACCTCTAAGGGGCACCTCTAAGGGGCACCTCTAAGGGAAGGGAATTCCAGAGTCTGGTGCTATATGTAGCAAAGGATCGGTCACCCCATTTTTTATACCGCGATAGTGGGACAACCAAAGACAAATGTTCTGAAGAGCGCAAGGCTCTTTGTGGCATGTAAATTGATAGCATGTCAGACAAATAAGGTGGAGCCAGGCCATAGATGGCCTTAAAATGAATACCAGAGTCTTAAACTTAACTCTATACTCGATGGGAAGCCAATGAAGGGAGCGGAGAATCGGGGTAATGTGGGCAAACCTGGGCACATTGACTAGAAGCTGAATTTTGAACTAATTGCAATTTCCGGAGCAAACACTGAGATACCCCAGCATAAAGGGCATTACAATAATCTAAACGCGAGATAATAAAGGCATGGATGGCTATCTCCAAGTCTGCATGTGATAAAAAAGGTTTCAACTTTGTTAGAACTCTTAAATGAAAGAAACAAGTCTTAACTACGGCCCTAATCTGCTTCTCAAAGTTAAAATTACAGTCCAGTATTATTCTGAGGTTTTTCACTCAATCAGAAAGTGGGAGGGCAGAAGCACCAAAACTGGCTGCATGTGCATTCGGGTGAGGACTGATAAGAATATATTCAGTTTTACTTTTGTGCAGATAAAGAAAATTTTGAGCCAGCCACTGCTTAATTTCTCGGACACAAATGTCCAATGGGGTAAGTGCGTTTGAGTCCTACAAAAGCGGTGGCATGTAGATCTGAATGTCATCTGCATAAAAATGGAAATGAACATCATGTCTAGCTATAATTGTTGCCAGAGGTGCAATATATAAAGAGAAGAGTAAAGGGGCCAGGATAGAACCTTGAGGAATGCCTGAGGTGAGTGGTGCTGTATTAGAAACGCAGTCATCAATAAGAACAGAAAAAGTTCTGTCAGTTAAAAAGGAAGTAAACCAGTTTAAAACCATACCTTTCAGTCCAACGGAATGTTCAAGGTTAAAAAGTAAAATCTCATGGTCACCTGTATCAAATGCTGCTGATAAATCTAAAAGAACTAAAAGAACAGGATATTTAGTGTCGAGAGCAGTGGTAATATGGTTATGGATCTTGAGTAGCGCTGACTCTGTACTATGGCGGAGCCTGAAGCCTGACTGAAACTTGTCAATGATGTCTAACAGATCTAAATGTGACTGCAGCTGGGTGAAAACAATTTTTTCCAGGATTCCAGGAGTGTATCATTTTAAACAAAATTCTTGGGTTTCGGTTGTTATTTACTATATTCTTAGCCAAATATTGGGTCTTAGCCTTTTTTTGCAGCCTCCTGATAGGCATGGGGGCTGCTTCTTAGCATAAAATATAGAAATATAAATCACAACCATTTAATTTGATCCTCCCTCAATAATAACATACAGTAAACTATCAACACAAAATAAACTAGACTTTTTAAAAACATAAATCCAATGTAATCAATATTCAGTAACTATCATAGAGTAAATTATTTCTGACACTTATGGGAGTAACAAAATTTTAAGATGAACAATATCAGCTCATCATCCTATTTTTATTTTGATGTTTAATGTTTTAAGAAATGCAAAATGTTGCATTTAAATATTTCAGCCACTGCTAACATGGTATCACTTAACTTCTTAGCTTAACTAAGAAGAACTGGAATCTGATTATACACAAGTAATTTCAAAATCCTATGGTAAAATTTAAGGGAAAATGATTTTATGTTGTGAAAAATATGCAAATGATGAATTAAATTACATCTGTAGCTTATATAGTTAAGTTCTAGCAACTACTGTTAGTCTGGGAAACATACTATATAAACTATGGCCTAAACAAACACACATGACTCTGCAGTGTCAATACAATCAAATAATTGCTTTATGTTAACACTGAATATGGTTTTGTGAACAAAGTGCCACCAAATGGTGATACCATCCAAATGAATGAATGGCACTTGAATCAAAGTATTCACTGTGGAATCTAGACATACCTTATCAAGCAACAGGAGAAAGGGGGCAGCTGGAAGCTGGTTGGCAGATGTGAATGGCTTTCGGCTGGAAGCAGCAATTCTGACTGACTGACTGGGACTGTATGGCCACGGTTCTATTCAGACAGCCTGTTTTCCATCAGCAAAGAAACAAACGGTATTCTCTGCTCTTCCTAAAAGGGATGGTGGATGCTGCACATGCCACACATGCATATGCAAACACATACAAGCCCACTCCACTGTTCATGGTCCAGAGAGTAAAAGACATTAACCCCAACTCCTATCTCTACCCACACATTGCAGAGATCAGCCTATTCTTAGATACACGCACCAGATGTTGCCCAAAGCTTTAGGGAAGAACTCTCAGGAATGTGTATGTGTATGTGTGTGTGTTCATGTTAGCCTTCCACAACTGGCTTCTTCAGCTCAAAACAGGTGACTCTGATTCAAGCCTCACCAGGTGGAAAATAACGTACAACATATATACAGTATATATATGGTTCATGCAGTGACAGTGGTTCACACAAACCCAATCTGTTTCTAATATCAACACACTTACACTTGCCAGCACAGGGGTCTGCTGGTCAAAAGGACAAAGCGGCGTAATGCAGTTTAAGAATTTAAACAGTCAAATGACAGAATTTCACTGGAATTTGTTGAAAGTTTTCATTATGTGGGTTTTTTGATGGTGAGAATGCAAAAGGAGGACACTAAAGATATCTTTCTCTGTGAGAAATGATCAGTGGAGCCAACGAAAGCCTTATTGTTTCCCTCTGGCCACAAAATGTTAAGGGTACAAGCTGATATGGGAGAGTAGCCATAAGGATACATGCTCCATTGTACTGCATATCTTGCTGGGAAGAAACCTGTAAATGGTCTTATACTTGTATAGCACTTTTCTATGCATTGCAGCACACTCAAAGCGCTTTCACACTATTTGGTCATTCGCCCATTCGCACTCACACACCGGTGTCATCACCGGGAACAACTGGGGTTCTTTGTCTTGCTCAAGGACACTTCAACATGTTGACTGGACAAGCCAGGAATCAAACCGTTAATCCTCCGGTTAGGAAATAACCCGCTCTACCTCCTGAGCCACAGCTGCCCCCATTGTGTTACCTTGATGTATATACTGACTGGATTTATGTCTGTCATATCAGTTTTGTAGTGATGACACTTTACATAAAAAAAACCCTTCTACACACTTTCAAATCATAATAGAAATGTGCCGACACAACAAAAATTCTGCCCATAAACCTCAATGGATATGGCCAAGATGAAAGCTGAAACATTGCTGGGGGCATCTAAAAATCTTATGGATATAAAAGCAGATGGGACCAAATGCGGATTCATTTTTCTCCATTTGTCCTATTGACAATCAGTCAAAGATAAAATATGCAGGGTCGAAGCCTGGGTCCTCTCCTTCTTCATTTTACTTTTACCCTTATCCTCAATGGTGATAAACATACGAGTGAATGTATTTTTCCCTCATGCATGTTCATTCTAGTATATTTCCATTCTGACCAGACAGATTCTATCAAAGGCCTTCCATTTAATCAGGGTGAAGACATACTTGGCATGAGGTCTGGGATGCAGGGCCACTGTCAGCACTTTTAAATTCACTAGCAGGGACTTGCCCTCACTTATGGAGATATGCGGAATGCTTGTGAACTTGAGATGCTTGTGAATTTGATGGTTTGGGGGAAAAGGTTATGGAGGTCTGAGCTGCTCTTTGGCACTGGCAGACCCCCGGCAGAGGTAGAGGATAGGGGGGAAAGAGATTAGTAAAAAAAATAATAATATGGGGGGAGGAAAGGCAGAAGCAGAAACGGGAGCCCGGTGGTTCAGGTGGTTTAAATACATGTATGATGAGAAATGGAAGGGCTGTAGTTTAGGTGAGGTCTGGCTCTTGAACTTCAGATAGTTTCATTATCTCCATATTTTGCCTTACCCATAGAGTTGAACATTATAAATTTTTATAAATTTGACTACTGCCTTTACCAGAGGCATCACAGGATGTTATTAATTACTTACAATAAGCCAGCTGAGATCAAAACCTGCTGGCCAGTTGTTAATGACCACTGAGGAATACAGATTAAAAAGATGGCGCAGCAGGATGTCTTTTTATCATAGGATAATGTTTCACAAACGTGGGAGCCACATTTTGAGCAACTGCCAATGTGTAGCTGTAGATATAATTTCCAAGTTATCAGAGGAACTGTTCAGACTTTTATGGCCTTTTATTTATTTATCTTTTAAAGGCATGTGGCTGTCATCTGGCAACCAGATGACAAAACATTCAACAGACATGTTGTAGTTCAAAGCTGTGTACCTCTAAAAGAGAATATTCAATTTTAGAATTATAATTTAAAATGAAATATTAATTATGCATCTTATTTCACTGGTGTGTTATCAAGTACAGAAACCATTTGTGAATGTTGAAACCACACAATCAAGAAAAGTATAACTGAAGGACTGAAACTGCCCTCAATATATTCCTTGAAAAAAGTTTATATTGTTTGTACAGAGAACAGCAAAAACAGTTTTATGATATGCTGAAAATTGCACTGTGCACTTGTACTTACATATTTGACTTTTTTTTTTTTACCACCATAGTACCATATTGTGGATCATAAAATGCAATGAGGGATGCTCATAAAAATACAATGAAACAATAAGAAAATATTTCTCATTTCTCCCAAGATAAAAAAAATCCCCTGAAACAATAACTTTATAAGAAGAATCCACGTGTCACAGAGGCAGCACACAAACATTAATTACAAAACAGAAATAATACATATACATTATGGGATACTGTCAAATTTGCATAAGAGAAAAAACTCATTAGACATTGAAGGCTCTTGAACCTCTCCCCAGTTTATGAAGAGACGCATAAACACAAAGCTGCTGTGTCAGAGTGGACCTTCCCCCCCCAAATACATGGATACACACAGCCAGTTCCATCCATACAAACAAGACCAGGTAATCCTCCAATAGAAGAAAAACAAATGTGAAACTGACAGACAGACAGAGATAAATGAAGAGAAGATATTGCAAATGTAAACCTCAGCCTTGTTGGTAACCTCTATTTGTACTGTAGACTCAGAGGAATAGTTGTGTTTACTCCATTGACTGAATCATCTGCAAGGTCAGGCTTCAAATTTTCTCTCCCTCCTACTCCTCTGCTTCTCTCCCACTCAGCAGCCAAGTGGTTCATATGGCTGCCAAGACATTTTCAGACATATTGAAGGATCCAGTTACTGGAAGTGTGTAGAGACACTTAAACACACCCACCTACACACACATACAAGAGAATTGGTAGCTGAATAAAAATACTAGTATTTCCTTTGTATGTAAATACACAAATGCACACTACTTTTTTCTGTACCACAAACTGCTGCCACGAATATTCTATATATCTTACTCCTCCCCCCAAAGCTTTACAAACTTTTGTTGTCATAAACATACCCTTAAAATGAAGAAATGGTCACAGTTTCATTATGTTTAGCCTCAGAACTTGGTTAGGTTTAGGACCAAACACTACTAGGTTAGCTTAATTTAAAAGTTGTTGAATATTTTATTTTAAGATTTTATTTGGACGTTTTTTCTGATCTGAAACCTAAACCATTAAATTTATTTTAATCTTTTATTAAGTGTGAAATGGCGAATAGTTACGCCTCTTAGTTTTTTGTTTTTGTTTTGTTTTAATTAACTATTTGACATTTAACCCAAATATCTACAAATTTTGTGAATTATGTATATGTTTCTTTTGTATTTATGTATTGTGGGGTATGACTCATTAAAGGACAATGAAAATGGGAAGCGATGCTTGTATTGTTTTATTATTTACATAGATAGCTGCCTATATTGTGATATGTAGCCCCACCAAGAGCACTGATAATCCAGATTTGGTAAACTTGAAAAGTTTGTATCTGGATAAGGCTGATCCAATCTAATGTTGTTTAAAAACTGCCACAAAGGCAATATGGATTATCTGATCCCAGATAGCAAAACATGGGGTTTCCAAACCCACACAATTCTGATCCAGATGAAACTGATCATTACCTACCCCGCCTTCGTCCGATTGCTGGCTGGGATTGGCTCCGGCCCCCCTGTGACCCCGTTCAGGGATTGAGCGGTAGAAAATAAATGAATGATCATTACCTTTGCTCTTCAAAAAATGTCTTTGCATTGCAAAAAGAGTCATCACTCTGGCAACTTAAATTCTTGTTCTTACAGGGATAAAAATACAAGAACACACTATGAACTGTCACAAACACTGAAAAATGCACCACTCATTTTTGATTGAATGATGAAAAAGCTCCCAAGTGGTTTACAATCAACTGATATAATCATGAAAGTAAACCAACATCAGTTCTATAAATAGACATAGATTGGCATTCTCACAGTGCAGAGGTGATGTGGTTTCCCACAGGATGATGAAATATTCAGCGAGGAACAACAAAGAGGCCGAGGGGCCAGTGGGTTTCAGTTACAGCCAAATCATTGGAGGCAAGGCCATGGCTACTGCCATGCCAGCAAAGTTATTGTTTCTTCCTCCAACAAATCCGCACATAAAGGGTGTGTTCATTTTTAATGAAGTATATTAATTAATAACCAAGGCCTGACCCCATTTATGCTGCTGGGTTTCTTGAGTAGGTGGGGCAGGACAGGAGTAAAGGAGTTCTAAAGCTGGTTTCCCTCCACTGAGAGTGCAGTATAGTGAGGGTGAAAAGTAAAGACAAAAAGCAGCCAGCAGAGAGGAAGAGAGATTTCAGGATTATCATATTACTGTAAATACAGAAAGGGATTTGAAGAAGGATAGAGACTCTGGTGAGTGTTGCATCTGAAACCAAAAGGGATATTTCTCTAAACTGAGGGTGAGTGGTTATGCCCCATAACTCATGTTCTCACTCCAAAGTTCACACAAGCTGCTTAACCTCCACACTATGTCACTACATGCCAACTCCTGCCAGCTCTCACACCCACAGACACATGTACAACAGTGCTTTTACAGTCCCATTGAACGGCACAAATAAACTTCAATCACACAAGTGCAACGTGAGATCCCAGCAGGCAGCGGCTGATTGGTACAAAACCATGCCTGAATCATATCCTGTGCTTGGTGTTATGATGTTTGGGTCAGACCATTGTCAGACGTGATGATGTAGCAGTGGTTGAAACCAGCTGCTGTCTGCTGTGATGTGTGCCCTGCTGAATTTGTGAGATGGATGTGTCAAAGCTGTAGCTCATGAGCAAAAAATGGGGCTGACGCCTACAAAAGGTGAACAAACAATGAACTAGAAGGCACTTGGACACATAGTTAGATGATCTTGATGCTGGACAATAAAATATCTTACATCAATTCTATTTGACACATCCAATAAGGGTCAATGTTCATATCATTAAAAAAAACTATTTTTTTATATTAACATTGTTTCTCAACATCCCATAAATGTCTTTGCATCTCAGCATTTTATAAAACAAATATTTAGTCTTTGTATTTTTCCCTGTTAATGCTCCCTACAATCAGTGCTTAGCTCCCATAAGTATTGTCTCAGGAGTAAAACTGGTTCCCTTTCTCTGAACCCTGAAACTTGCTGAGCTTGGCGAGCTGAGAAGGAGATGGTGGTACATCCTGTCTATAAGGGCCCTTGGATTGAGGTGGGGCAGATCCAGGGACCTGAGCGTGGTCTCTGTTGTGGTCATAGCTGCTGCTGTTGGGAGTCTTTTGTGTGGACAGTGCCTTGGCCTTGTTGGCCTCCTGTTCTCTGCGTCTTTCCTCCTGTCTCAGCAATTCCTGAGTCTCTAAGAGGACACGGGCGTTGAAGTTGGAAGTTCCAAGGTAGCCATTATGTGATCCCTGGACACCTGTATAGCGAGGATTCACCTTAGATGTGTGGAGGTTTTCTGCTGGCATGTACACCTTTTCCCGTGAATCCTGGGACACTGTGCTGGCTTTTGTACGAGATTGCCTAAAAACAGATGAAGAGGTGAGCTGTGATTTTAAGTAAGTCACTTTTAACAGCATCTGAATCAATAGGAAAGAAAAGAGAATAGAAGTTAACTCTGCTTAGAAAAGCTTGCTTTCTCTGTAGCGACTCCAGGGTCATGACTATTGAAAGGGACGTTAAAAGAAACCACACTTCAGCAGAGATTGTGGCCATTTTCACATTTTGTGAGATGAAAAGGGGATGTGGCACTGGTGCTGAGTTTAAATACAAACAGCAATATGTCTTGGATCAAAAGGGATCAGTTATAGCCTACAGCATGATTACAGTGAATCCAGTGACATAAAAAGTGAGACATGAAAGAGAGAGGAAACAAATGGCAGGAAGCCTGAAACGCCCACAGGACTATTAGTTCCGCACTGTAAACAAAAACAAATGTTAAAACCTCCCTGAGAAAAATGTCAACTTCCATCCATTTATCACCTTTTTGGGAATGCACTCATGCACTTTTAGCACAGACAGAATAATGGCAAGCCTCACGATGTTTTCTGCCTTCTACAAGATGGCCCAAGAGCCATGTGTATTATTTCTCATACAACTAACCCACATGCATGTCTTCCTTCACACACAGAAACTGGCCCAGAAAGCTGTCATTGGGAGCTGCCATGTCTTTGGCTAAATGTTAAGTCTGCTCCTCCATTATTAGGATCCATTAAGGCCAATGTGCAATGGGGGACCTGGGACAGCGTCTTTTTTGTCAGGGGTGCATGAGAAATCCCATTCATATGTACCTCTGTGGCACACTGTGTGCTTAAAAGGCTTTTGAGTTGACTATGCACAAGGCTACAGAGGGAGAGGAGGGCTTGGCAAGCTTTTAGGCCAAAAGGCCAGCCCTGTTTTTTCTGGCCGAATCTCATTCCACAAAGGCCGAGATAAGAAAAAGACAGAACATGCTACTCTTTGGTCAAAGAAATTGTGTTTCTGACAAACAATTTAGTTTTTCTCTGAAACTGAAATCTTAAATTGAGGCAAATCGATCTATATTCATATTTTGTATGTTCTATGATTTATCTTAAAAGGGCAGACTTAGATGACTCGCATGACTGATCCAAAAATTAAAAAAAAGATATTTATTATGTAAATACTATAGAGCAGCAAAGTCTACATTTAAACAAGGTCAGGGTGGATGGTTGGATCAACAAGCCACAGCATTTGGCATGTTTATTTTTCATGACAAACTGTTTATTTTTGCTTAGTTTAACAATCCATAACTTTAACTGCTTGTTTAGTTTAATTAGGGCTGGATCAGGTGACCCTGAGCCTTCCCTTAGCTATGCTGCCACAGGCCTAGGCTGCTGGGGGCCCCCCCATGATGCTCTGAGTTTCTCTCCTCCCCTCTCCTCTCTTCTCCTCTCTCCCTATGCCCTGGAGCTCTACGTCTCTGACGAGCAGTCACCAGCCACATCGACCTGATCAGTGTTTGATTGTTGTGTCTTGTTGCTTTTCTTCTTTTGTCTCTCCTCTATCCACTCACCCCAACCAGTCGAGGCAGAAGGCCGCCCACCAAGAGCCGGGGTCTGTCGGAGGTTTCTTCCGTTAAAGGGAGTTTTTCCTCCCCACTGTCGCCAAGTGCTTGCTCAAGGGGGATTTGCTGGGCTTTCCCTATGTAATAATAGTGATAACAGTAAGGTCTAGACCTTACTTTGTAAAGTGTCCTGAGATGACTTGTTGTGATTTGGCGCTATACAAATAAAATTTGATTTGATTTGATTTATTACTGAAACTACTGACAACGAAGGTCTAGTACACCACTGCCAGTATGCTCTAAAATTTATCATTGTAGCCATGATAACAAAGGTCTGGTATTCCTGTAGAAACCACTGTATTTTGGTACTTAAACTCTTATTTGTTAAATTATGTCTAAATTAACCAAGTGATTTTAATGAGAATTCCACAATTCCAGTATTAATAATGAAAGCCCTTGTATTCTACTACATCTAAGTGGAGGGGAAGAGCTGAAGCACATGGTACTGTGATGTGACAAGTGTGCTTTTGTGAGCTTAGGTTTACATTTATGTATGTGTAATTAAATGTGTACAAGAAACATATTGTTTTGTGCTTTGTGTGCATGCATGTACAGTGTGTGTGTAAGTATGAGGATAATTGGTGAGGGGACAGCTGTAGGGACAGACTGCAGCGAGAGCTCCACCGCATGCTCCATATCTGGGTTTAGCTGTCCAGGCGAGCCGCCATGCATTTACACTCCAGCTTGGCTTACGCAGCAGCCAGCACCATTCGTGATGGAGCCACTTGTTTAAAAACCCAGGTCACCTGTTGCATGAGGCAGCAATCTGCATTTCCGGAATGTCTTTTTAGTTTTTAGAGTAGTTAGGAAATGGAAAAAGTGATGAGAAAAAAGCAGAGATGTTCCACAGGAATGTAATTGTGATTAATGCGTAAGGGAAGCCAGTCCTCTTATCACCTCTGCTCCTGAGCTAGAATATGTCACAGAAAAAAAGTAAAAGTAGATTATTTACATTTTCAGAGGGAGTAGATGGGAAAATAGGTCTTGCCAAAGAGGGGTATATTTAGAATGACAGAACATAACAAAAAAAGCAGTCAAGTTGGCTCACAGGAAAAAATGTGTCTGTGTTTCTTTATAACAGCTGAGAAGAATCAGAGTGAAAGCAGATCAGACAGAACATAATAAAGGAAAAAGAACAAATGCATGCAGTGGGCAATGGAACAAGTACTGATGTACTGTACAAATAAATTGTCCACAAGCCTGGAATAATTTCTTATAGTGTGGAACAATGTTGTTTTGGCTGAGAAATGCATGAGCACCATGGGTAGATGGGTGAGCTATTGGCAGTTCATTCAGACCACAGTTAAGAACCTTATCTTGACCACACTCATGAGTGTGTTTGTGTTTATTTTGTGTATGAGTGTGTCTCTTTCACACTAATCAGTGGTCTCTCTTTCCTACTAACATACTCGCTCAGCCCCTCTCGCCTTCCACTGCCTGTCACTGCTAATCCTGCTCTGAAAACAAGCCTTCATTAGTGCTTTTCCAATCCTCACATCCCAGACAACAAGCTAAGCCTGGCCGTCATCAGATAAGCAGCTACCATGGGTTTCTGTGGAAGCTCTTGTAGAGGAAGCTTTTTGAGGGGGGTGTCCCCTTTGGGCTGAATGGCTGACTGCTCGGGTTTCCCATTTTGGAGGAGGACAGAGGACAGGAAAAGGTGGCTAGAGTTAGAGGGAATTGTGGTTATTAATCTGGGGATAGAAGACTTCAGCTTTCTAATGAGGAGCCATGCCAAAACACCAGCTCTGAAAATCTTGAGCCAGGGTTAAATGGTAAGCCTGAGATCATGTGACTTTTTGCTAAAAGATGCTATGAGATTATGAGGGGAATGCATATCAAAGGCCTGGCTTTTTGCCCAGCCAGACAAACTTTCCCAAGAGAAGCAACTCACTGAGAGGGGAGAGTTGAATGCAACAGTCACATCATATCAGATGCTCTCTAAGCATGTAAAGCTTTAAAAAAAAGCTTAGCAGAAGTTGACAATTTGTACTGACTAAAGTGTGTTTAAAAGGCTTCAGAGGACTAATAAAGACACTTTGTAGAGCAATGGCAAGAAATGCAAATACTGCCACTAAATGTATTTTCCTTCTTTCTTGATATCTCTTCAAGAAATATTTGAAACAATCAAAACAGGAAGATAAAAAAAAGATGATAAACCAGATGTGTTGCTCTGAAGTCAAGCTGTGTAATCCAAGACCGCCCAAAGAAACATTTAAAAACAAAAAACAAACAAAGAAACAAACAAGCAAACAAAAATATTTTACTCCACTGTAATAAAAGTCACCACTTCCTCAGGGTCAAGGCTGACTTAATAAAGTTGAATATCAGTTAAATAAGTCCAAGCATTCATATTCAATGATTTTATTTAAAGGGTTTTGTTAACAGTCATTTAAACGACTGGAGATGAGCTGAAATTGGCTTTGTGATTATTAAGTGTGTAGGCAGAGATATGTCAAAAAAAAAGTGTGGACAAAAAACGGTAAAGGCAAAAATAATGGAAAGTGAAAAAGTCAGATGAACAGGCTGAGAAAGGGCACAAAGAATGCTATAAGTCACTGGGGTCAGGAGGACAGCGGGATACAGGGACAGAAAGGGAGAAGAGGGAAAATGTCTCACCGTGGCAGGGAGTTGTACTTTCTCTGGGCTTCATGATAACCATCTCTATCTGCTTGCTGTTGCTTGTGTGAATGATGACGCATGCTTGGTTTCTCTGTTCCATTACTCACCTATAGCATATCCACCAAATGAAACAAAAAAAGATACATACAGTTAATAGTAGAGACATTAAGCCAAACATTTCTGTTTTGCGACACAATGTCCAAAAGTCAGCGGCCTACTGGGGACGCCCAAAGTTGTGCTGGTCCTTACCCATTTTTGCCCATTTTTCCTGTGTCCAACATATCAACTTCAAGAACTAATTGACAGGTGCCATTGTAACAAGATAACCAGTGTTATTCACATCACCTACCAATGGTTTTAATGTCGTGGCTAATCAGTGAATATTTGAGAACAAAGTCTGCACTGGTACATTTTTTGTAACAATCTGTGTATGTGCATTTGTTGTGTGATTGTCAACAGGGTTGGCATGGAGACATCATCTTCCTCACTACTAGCAAACTTCTAATAAGACGGCTGATAAAAGAACAGGACAAGCCAATTAAACAGAGGTGCGCTAAGGAGGTGTCTTGACCATGTGTCAGCTTTCATAAGGCTTGAACAATAATATGCTAGACAAGCCAGGGTATGTATGGTTTGTGTGCACACATTTCTGCTAAAATAAATACTATTTTCATTATTTTACAGGCTAGCTGAGTTTTAAAACTAAACATAACATCTAAGAAAGTTTGTGTTAGCTTGAAAAGAGTTTTTCTTAAATTTGAAAAACCTGTCTGTATATGTTTATTTGTGATAGAATGGATTGATGGGGTGAAACTATATTGGCGAAGCGAGAGGTTGTCAGCAAAAACATCTCCTCAGGAACATGACGTGTTCTTGACATGGCTGCTTTCCTCTACACATGGACAGCTGCAGTAACAGTGCAATTACATTGCACTCAGCATGGATAGCAAGTTCTTTCTCAAGCCGTCCAAGTCATAAAAAATGTGGGTGAAGTGAAATGGACTCATATGTTTCAGATTTGTCTGCACAAAAGGAGAAATTATTTTACTGGGGCTATTAGTGGTGGTGTGAAAATAATTGGTCATGCAGGTCGAATGTTTTTAATGTGATCTGAAAGGGAGTGGTGGGGAATCTGTCAGAGCTTGACACTAAAACTGAAGGATTGAGGTGGATGACACCATGCTAAGAGAAATGCATGAGAAATAGCCAGGAGAGAGAATCAGTCAGTGTAATGGTATTATCCAGGAAAGGAGAATCAGATTATCCAATTTTAGGGCTTGAATACAATGCCATATAAAACATAACATTTGTTGAAATTGAATTAGAGAGATGTCCGTGTTCGTTTTTATCCAATAATGTAAAAAAATGATGTCAGTACTAGACACTTTTTTCTCTTCCTTGTTTCCTTGGTGGTGGATTGATAAAGCAGGAAGACAAAATAATTCTCCAGCTGTTTAAACATAGGAACGTTCACAGACAGTAATCTGGGAGGTTACTTAATTATGAAAATTATATACAGCTTTCAAAAGTCTGAGACTGGGAAAGCTATTGGGAGGAAGTGGAGCTTTAAAAATCCAAATCATAAGCAAGCCAGCCAAAGTTTAATATGGTTCAGAGCTGGTCACAGACCTTTCAAATGTCAAAGCAGGTTGCTATGATGGGTCAGCAATAACATATGGCTTTACTGCCCATACTGCTCATAATACTATGTTTGTAGGCCACTACATAGGAAGCAGGTTTTAAATGAGCGGCAGTGCTGTACACAAACAGACATATGGAGGACATTTCTGTTGCTAATGGGCAGACAAAGTGAAATGGTTGCACAACACCACATCCTGAATAAAGCCCAGCTGGTCAATGATTCTCTCTGAGCCCTAGTGTGGACCAGATAGCGCCAATTTATTATAAGAAAGCTCAGTCCATTTGTGGATACTAGTGTGTGTAGCTCTGAGCCAAGTAACCATCTGAGAGCAGGCATTATAGTGTGGCCCAGGAAACTGTGCTGTATGTGAGGCTGGATAATTTATCTCCATATTACTTAAAGATTTCACAAGACAAACGAAAGGCAGAACAAAATGTTGGAGTCTCATTTTTTTGCAGCTAAGATATGTATCTATGTGGTTGGATGAATGAGTGAGGTAATAGTGCTTAATAGTGCCTACATAAGAGAGGTGTGATCACTTTGTTGTGCTCTCCTCCCTTTGTTCACTGGTATCTAAGTAATTTGAGTTCAGTAAAAATGCTAGAGGTGTAGGCATTCATATACGAGGTGCCAGTGGTGCAATGGTAGAGTAGTCGTCTCCCAACCAGAAGGTTGAAGGTTTGAATCTCGCTGCCAGCAGTCCACATGTCGAAGCGTCCTTGGGCAAGACACTGAACCCCCCCCGGTTGCCCCCGATGGTTAGAACCATCGGTTGAGGTGGCGCCGCAGATGGCTGCCATCGGTTCTGTACCAGAAACAAATTCCTTGTGTGTAATACTTGGCCAATAAAGGTGATTATCCTTATCCTTATCTGTCCAGGCTTGTGATTTGCCAGCATGGTTGAACTGTGCAACAAAATGCTACAATATATTTGCTATAAAATAAATCAGTTTCACACTTCCAACCAAGCTAAATAGCTTCATGATTGTGAGGTGGTGTTCAAACATGTTGGCAAGTCCTACGGGTTATGGCAGTGGTAATCACAAGATTAGTAAACCATGCTTGTTACTGACCAGCAATTGTTTATAATTCACTCATGCAGCCTTGACTGCTAGCATTAGCATAACCGGCCAAACTAAGACACTAAGACAAGGTTTCACAAAAGAGCGATCATCATAATTGACATAGCCACTTTTGTTTGAAAAATATAGTAATGTAAAGTTGTTTTTGGTAGCAAGAGGTCAACGACAAAGCCCTAAAGTTGAAGATATATCACAAAGAAAGAGAATCCTCTGAATCTATGCAAAAAATGTCAATGATTTTTCCTCCTGCTTTTTATAGTGTCCCAAGGAACAGTACTGGCCAAACCACATGTGTTCACACACACAAACCAAAAACAAGACAAACAAACAAAAAAAACAAAAATTTTTCATAAAGAGTCATTGGGAAAAGTGCCGGCTGTAAAATGGCGAATACATTTTTGAGAGCATCAAAAACCCCTCAAATTGATTCTTTTCATTGTCAGAATTTGGTCCATTGAGTCAAAATCATTTGGGAAGTCTAGAAGAATAGAGAAATCTTTTGTTAATGATTCATACTATCATTGACATTATTTTGTGTTTAACATCTCTAGCACAGTGCTACAACTTAAAAGAGCAAACATACAACTCCTGGGGCCCGTTTCAAGAAGGAGGTTTAACAAACTCAGAGTTCAAACCTGAACTCTGAGTTGACTTACACAGAGTTGGAAAACTTGGAGTTTTCGGTTTCAGAACAGCTGAAAAGAGTTGGTTTAATCAACTCTGAGTAGTTTGACCCAAAGTTAGGCGCGTGCCAAGAGACTATAAAAAGCCCTGAACAATGGAGTGAAGAAATTACGAGTCACCATGGCAACAGGACCAAGCCAAAATAGGTCTGCGTTTTTTCCCCGACAGAAATGGATGTG